AAGACCTACTTTTACCGGGAAGTATTCTCCCTCTCTTCTACACACCCTAACCTGAGCCTCACTATCCTCATAAAAGCTCTTTACAGTATTTAGTAACTTACCACCTATTCCATATACTTGCATCATCTGCCACATTGCTCCTCTATCCACTCTATCATATGCCTTTTCTAAATCCATAAATGCAATAAAAACTTCCCTACCTTTATCTAAATACTGTTCACATATATGCTTCAATGTAAACACTTGATCTACACATCCCCTACCCACTCTGAAGCCTCCTTGCTCGTCCACAATTCTACATTCTGTCTTACCTCTAATTCTTTCAATTATAACCCTACCGTATACTTTTCCTGGTATACTCAGTAAACTTATTCCTCTATAATTTTTACAATCTCTTTTGTCCCCTTTTCCTTTATATAAAGGGACTATACATGCTCTCCGCCAATCCCTAGGTACCTTCCCCTCTTTCATACATTTATTAAACAAAAGTACCAACCACTCCAACACTATACCCCCCCCCCCCCTACTTTTAACATTTCTGTCATGATCCCATCAGTTCCAGCTGCTTTACCCCCTTTCATTCTACGTAATGCCTCACGTACCTCCACCACACTTACATTCTGCTCTTCTTCACTCCTAAAAGATGGTATACCTTCCTGGCCAGTGCATGAAATTACCGCCTACCTTTCTTCCTTAACATTTAAAAGTTCCTCAAAATATTCTCGCCATCTACCTAATACCTCCCTCTCCCCATCTACTAACTCCCCTACTCTGTTTTTAACTGACAAATCCATACTTTCCGTAGGCTTTCTTAACTTGTTTAACTCACTCCAAAATTTTTTCTTATTTTCATTAAAATTTCTTGACAGTGCCTCTCCCACTCTTTCATCTGCTCTCCTTTTGCACTCTCTCACCACTCTCTTCACCTTTCTTTTACTCTCCATATACTCTGCTCTTCTTATAACACTTCTGCTTTGTAAAAACCTCTCGTAAGCTACCTTTTTCTCTTTTATCACACCCTTTACTTCATCATTCCACCAATCACAACTCTTTCCTCCTGCCCCCACCCTCCTATAACCACAAACTTCTGCCCCACATTCTAATACTGCATTTTTAAAACTATTCCAACCCTCTTCAACCCCCCCACTACTCATCTTTGCACTAGCCCACCTTTCTGCCAATAGTCGCTTATATCTCGCCCGAACTTCCTCCTCCCTTAGTTTAATGAAACATGCACAATAAATACATAAATACTAAAACGACACTTGCCTTTATTGAAGAGTATTGATGAGTGATGAGAGACTTTCTTGAACACTGGGATTTTCAGAGTGATACACGAATAAAGGCTTCGCTTTGCAATCCCCACTAGCATACAACAAAACATGAGAGTTAGCCTGTCTTTCATAGGCTTGTGTTCTGGGAGTGCCTTTTCCTCCTGAGTAATGTAGGTCCTGTTTGGCATTTTCTTCCAGAGCAGGCCTGTTTCGTCACAATTGAACACTTGTTGGGGTTGGAATTTTTCAGCTTCGCCATGTCTTATCACACTGTGTATGCCTCTACGATTCTTAAATCTCTCAAACCAACCATTGCTGGCCTTAAATTCACCAATATGAGCACTAGTTCCAGGCATTTTTTCCTGTTCACCTGGGTGTTAGTCGACTGGTGTGGGTAGCATCCTGGGGGACAAGATTAAGAACCCCAATGGAAATAAGTTAGACAGTCCTCGGTGACGCACCGACTTTCTTGGGTTATCCTGGGTGGCTAACCCTCTGGGGTTAATTGTTTCTCGTTATCGGTAATTGTTTTTTGTTAAGCCACACCAACAACACACACCCCACATCTTCGAGTAGTACAGCTGACGGTGGTGCAGCAGCAGCTGACGGTGGTGCAGCAGCAGCTGACGGTGGTGCAGCAGCAGCAGACGGTGGTGCAGCAGCAGCTGACCGTAGTGCAGCAACAGCAGCAGCCCGTGGTGCAGCAACAGCAGCAGACCACGGTGCAGCAACAGCAGCAGACCACGGTGCAGCAACAGCAGCAGACCACGGTGCAGCAACAGCAGCAGACCACGGTGCAGCAGCAGCTGACCATGGTGCAGCAACAGCTGACCGTGGTGCAGCAACAGCTGACCGTGGTGCAGCAACAGCTGACCGTGGTGCAGCAACAACTGACCGTGGTGCAGCGACAGCTGACCGTGGTGCAGCGACAGCTGACCGTGGTGCAGCGACAGCTGACCGTGGTGCAGCAACAGCTGACCGTGGTGCAGCAACAGCTGACCGTGGTGCATGCAACAGCTGACCGTGGTGCAGCACAGCTGACCGTGGTGCAGCAACAGCTGACCGTGGTGCAGCAACAGCTGACCGTGGTGCAGCAACAGCTGACCGTGGTGCAGCAACAGCTGACCGTGGTGTAGCAACAGCTGACCGTGGTGCAGCAACAGCTGACTGTGGTACAATAGTATTTCGATAGTTTTTCTCACCCTTTTTACCACAGGGTTGGCACTAGAGGCTTTCTTTGGGCCCATGGTGGCTTATTTAGCAGTTACAAGCACTAAAAACAATGGAATAATACAAAATGTATCGTGGAACTGTCCGCCCTGGCTTGTAAACAATGGCACACTAGCTGAAGGCAGGACAGCTGAGGTGCTCAGGCTGGACAGACAGCCGGACACGTTTCAGACAAATGTCCTTACCCGAGTTTTTCATTGTTGGTCGAGCCAATATTTTTACGCAAAAGCGCATCGCTACCCAATTTTATCATTAGTCAATGCCATCATTGGTCGAGGGTCCACTGTATACTATTATAATTATTATAGTATTATATTATTATTATATTATTATTATTATATTATACAGTGGTACCCAGAGTTTTGGCCATAATTCATTCCAGAAGGCTGTTCGAGCGCCGTTACTGAACGAATTTGTTCCCATGAGGAATAATGTAAATTAGATTAGTCCGGTGCAGACCCCCAAAACTACACTAACAAAAGCACTTACAATAATACACTTACACAAGTGTTCGAGTTGGGAGCTGTATGAAACTCGGGGTACCGCTGTATTATTACGTATATTATACGTACTATTATTATTAGCAGTAGTACGTACGTATTATTATTATTAATTTAGGGAACCGGAGCACAGATCCAATTCCCTAGATCAAGAGCCCCTCACCAAGGAACCTCCCTTCAGGGGGAAGTCCGCATCCTGAAATTTTGTTTGTATCCAGAAGCAAAAAATCGACCAAACGACTGTTTGTATCCTGAAAAGTTCGCATGAGGCATTCGAACGCTGAAGTTCCACTGTATTATTAAAAATGTAATTTTTTTTTTTTTCAACAAGTCGGCCGTCTCCCACCGAGGCAGGGTGACCCAAAAAAGAAAGAAAATCCCCAAAAAGAAAATACTTTCATCATCATTCAACACTTTCACCACACTCACATTATAAAGAAGACGTCTTAGAACAATTATCAGAGAACAAGAGACTGTAACTTAAAGCTTTAAAAAAAAGGAATGAGGTTGAAGAAAGGAGGTCCCCTAGTCTGTCTTACAATCAGTGGAAACTTAAAACATCTTCACAGAATAACACATAACTGAAGACAGGACACCAAGAGCACAGGGATTATCTAACTACAAAAATATACAATAAAAAGTGAAGGTAAATAGAATACTGTTAAACCACAAATGTTAAGCTACACCTATCAATAGAGGAAACAGTAATACAAGGACTATAGAGTGGCTGAGGAATTCGAACTAAAAGAGAGGACCAGGAAGAACATGATCACAGCATAAAATGCTCAGTGGATTATATACGGACACGTTGTTTGAGACATGAGAGAGTGTCATGAGAAAAAGATAGTAGCTAAAAATGAAGATGAACCATACGAATGTTAGTATCAGCCTCAGGATAGGGAAAAAGCACTATACTAAAGAAATGAAAGCAAAACATCGTATAATACACAATTTCAAAATACGCGAGCAGGCCCTGGAGGTTAGAAATTGGTGAAACCAGTTGATAAGAGGTAAAGAGGCAGAAGCTAGTACTAGACCCCTGAAAACAAGTGAGTAAATAAAAACAAACCATGAAAGATATGAGAAACAAAATCAAGTCTATTCCAACCATCAAATAGTTTTTTCAAAACACACACACAAAAAAAAAAACTAAACTAAAAAAAAAAAAAAAAACTAGGGATACCATAGTGACAAATATTTGGAAAAAGATTTCACATACAAACGCATATAGGGAAACCATAAAAAAAAAATTAACATACCAATCATTTACTACTAGATATATATAAATAATCTAGGTAGTAGGTTGGTAGACACCAACCGCCCAGGGAGGTACGTACTACCGTCCTGCCAAGTGAGTAAAACAAAAGCCTGGAATTGTTTTACATGATGGTAGGATTGCTGGTGTCCTTTTTTCTGTCTCAAACATGCAAGATTTCAGTTAAGTCTTGCTACTTCTACTTACACTTAGGTCACACTACACATACATGTACAAGCACATATATACACACCCCTCTGGGTTTTCTTCTATTTTCTTTCTAGTTCTTGTTTATTTCCTCTTATCTCCATGGGGAAGTGGAACAGAATTCTTCCTCTGTAAGCCATGCATGTTGTAAGAGGTGACTAAAATGCCAGGAGCAAGGGGCTAGTAACCCCTTCTGTATAAATTACTAAATTTAAAAGAGAAACTTTCGTTTTTCTTTTTGGGCCACCCTGCCTCAGTGAGATACAGCCAGTTTGTTGAAAGAAGAATATACGTATAAATAAAAAATCCTATACCTAAAATTAAATGATCTGACAAGCTGTGGTGCCTATGTCAGACTTCATGCTGTGAGCACAAATAGTTTGAGTTTTCAAACCACAAACCAACAAGGAGGCCAGGTTCAAGACTGGGTCACAGATATGATCCCTGGAATTAAGTTATACAACAACTAAAGTTATGCAAATGGGAGACAAATCTCACTGTGTGTGTACATTCAGAAAAACAGTGAGAGCTTACCTTTTGCCCAGTTCTGAGAGTTCCACTGAAGACACGTGCAAAGGCAACAAACACCTCCTCATTCATCCCCTTTCTCTCTTCCTCTACTTTTTCTTCTTTATCCTTCATTATTTGTTCCTGCTGACTTGTCAACTCTTCATTTTCTTCTGTTGTTAAGATTCTTTCTTGACCAGATTCGGTGTTAACAGCTACAAGTGTGGCTTCCTTCCTGCGACGTAATACGTCCCTGCGTGTTGCTATTTCTTTTTCTGACAACAAGCCCTGACTGACATTTTCATGAGTTACCTTTATTCCAGTATTTTTGTCCACTGGAAGGAGTTCTCTCTGCACACCAAACATCTTTGAGATATAAACAATAAGTGGCTCATTTTTGTCACTACTACATTTCATAAAAGCTTTTTTAAGTTTTTGTGTTTCTGGTGGCAGGGAATCAAACCTCTGAGTTGCTGAACACATAAGCTTTGTTGCACGTTCTTCTGACATGTCTGCTGCACTTGGTAAATGTTCAACAACCATCTCCAAGACTGCTGAAGCTAAGGGAAGCCAACCACTACACAGGCAATTAAGTTTTAATCGCATATCTGTTGACTTGCGTATACTCATCGGAATCTTCACTCCTAAAGTCTCTGCCAATTTCTCAGTTTCATATTTGTCTTTTTTCACCATAATAGTATCATAAACTTTGTAAAGATTTTCCAAGATTGTAACAAAAAGAGGATTCTTTCGTTTATCACGTGCACCAGATACAATTTTTTTCTCACCACCTTTTGTAGTTATATAGTAGTCTCCCCACAAAGTTTTGTTGAGGACAGCTTTATTCATCCCCAATTTTGCAGAAAATAGATTAGCAAAATGGTGAATACTGAAAAATAAAAATAAAAATTAAAAGAACATATGAAAACTGAAAATTAATCTAAAAATAGAAGCAATAGCAGGGACTTTAATGGGTCCTATATTTATAAAGTAATATATCCTATTTACTTTCTCTCATACAGTGGAACCTTGGTGTTCAAACATACCAAATATCGAATGAACTGGAGCCCGAATAATTTTGTTCAGAAAAAACTGATCTAGTTTTTGAACATTTTTCTTGAGTCCGAATGCACCTAATAAATACTGTATCAGATACAGAACCTTTCGGAGTTCGAACACCACCCAATAACCAATTAAGTTCAAACACCAAGGTTCCACTGTACTATGCATATGAGTGAGATTACCTGTTTCCTATTTGTAGTCACAGGAGCAGAACTGATCACTGTGTTCTAAATTCAGTTTTTAATTTATTCTTTCAATTTCCAGTGGTTCTAGAATTACCTCTTATTTTATCTTACTTTTTCTTGTGCAGAACTGCAGCCTCTTGTGCTCAGTGTTGAAAGTATTGAAAAATCATCTTTCTTTATTCTTTTGTATCTTTGCATGACTTCATACATTGTCTTCGCTTTTCTTATTGGACAAAAAGTTTATTTTAGGCTAAGCCTAATAATTAGAATACAGTGGAACCTCTGCTTATGAGTTTAATCCATTCCATGTCCTTGCTCACATCTGGATTTGCTCGTTTGCAGAGTCATTTTCCTCATTTAAATTAACTGAAATACAATTAATCTGTTCTGGCTCTCAGGAGGCACGACAAGATGCTTCAATATTTTGCTAATATCATCTTTACAGCTTATTTATCTATCATAATTCATCTAATATTACATACTAAACAATATAAATAACAGAAACCTGATATATACTCTAGAATGAATAAAAAATGTCATTATATGACAGGTGGAGGAGGCCACAATCGCTCCCGCTTTGTTGTGGTAATCACTGCCATCTAGAGACGGCCTTTTGAAGCAGTCTATTATTATATTTATTATATAGTACATTATTATACATGTATGTATTATTTTATGTATTATATTATTATTATTATTCTATTATTATTATATATTATACCATTATTATATGTATATTATTATTATTATTATTACAATACAGTGGACCCCTGGTTAACGATATTTTTTCACTCCAGAAGTATGTTCAGGTGCCAGTACTGACCGAATTTGTTCCCATAAGGAATATTGTGAAGTAGATTAGTCCATTTCAGACCCCCAAACATACACGTACAAACGCACTTACATAAATACACTTACATAATTGGTCGCATTCGGAGGTGATCATTATGCGGGGGTCCACTGTATATATAATTTGTACTTTTTATTCACACAAAAAATAGAAGATTTACTGTTATACAGACTACTGCATTATTGTAATAATTTTATAAATAATGTCATCCCATTCATGACTGCATATTGGAATGGACAGTGATGTCATTTGTTTACTCTTGTACATCGCCAAACAAACATTTCTGCTACTTTGAGCTCAATTTCAAGGTACTTTTTGTCTTGAAACCAATCAAACTTATACCTGTTTCTGTAACATATCTTCCATTCTATCAAATGAGATTAAAAAAACGAGAATACAACCATAAAAACCATACAAAAATACCGCTAAGGGGTGGCTAATGGCTGAGAAGCAAACTCCGTTATTTATGGTCTGATTTCTTTCATTTTTGGTGTACTTTCAGAAGCATCTCTCCATCATACATTGCCCAAGTTTCAATGTGATAGTCCAACAAACTGAGATCCAATTCCCTAGATCAAGAGGAAGAGCCCCTCACCAACATCAAGGAACCTCCCTTGAGGCCTGCTCGCATCTGGAAATTTTGCTCGCGTCTGAAAGCAAAAAATTGACCAAGCGACTGCTCGCATCTGGAAAAACTCGCACATGGATGCACTCACAAGTAGACATTCCACTGTACTTTATATTTACTCCCTCATAAGCCATTGTGTATTTTTTCTTAAAAAAAAAAATCTTATACACGGTTGATTTTTATTTTGTTGCTGAAGCGGTTTAGTTTATTATGCACCCCATATCCATCCTATGGACGGCAGCACAAGAACAAATGGATATACAGAAGGCCTAGGAACTAGACCCCAAAAGAGTTTACAGGAGTACATCTGGATTTATACTTATAGTTCACTCTCCTATTGCAAGCACATTTAGGAAATTTCCTTAATATGTCTGGTAACTTATTTTCATTAATAAGATATCTTGACATGTCACATATGTTATTATACTGTATCTCTATATTACTCAATAAGTGGACAATTAAGCACAGTGCTCAAGACAGTGACCAAATGCCTGACCACATACTTTGCATTTAGTTTGATCATCATCAGTGTCTACCAAACTGCCAGAAGTACTTGTAACCAAGCCTAAGCCTGGCCACTGCAACATAAGTCGGTCACATTGCAAGTTACTCCACAAATGTACTTATCTATGTTCATGTTATCATAGTGGGTTATTGATCTACTCAGGCTTCTAATTGCATTCCTGTAACTTCCAATTTCATTATTTATTTCTATTATTATTCCTAGCTAAACACAGATGCACCAGTTATATTCTACATTCTCCTTCAGGGTACTTTTTTTTTGTTAACACATCAACTTTATCATGAAAGAGTATCAAATATGCGATGGAATAGATAAAAAATTTTCATTCGTCTTTCCCGGATTTCTGAGCATCTATATCTGGCTTCTCCAAAGAGCATGTTGTTAGTCATTATGGAAGTCAAGAGCCTTTAGTGATGACATAAAATCAATAGTCATTATAGAGCCAAGCTCAGTGTCATAAGTTAACTGTAGCATCATTAGGATGGCAAACAATTGTTTACAATGTAGATGCCAAGTTGTTAATTCTTGTGATAAATTATGACTAATAATTAGGCCAGAAATTTCCTCTCGAGCAGTTGCCTCTGCAAGTGATTTAACCCTTTGACTGTCCATCACTCAAAACTACATCACTGACGCCAGGGTCCGTTACACTGATCTACATCATGAGCTCAGCTCATTATATAAACTTTAAGTGGTAATTATGGCCTAGATACAAGAGAATGAGTCTGTGCAGCTGAGTGTGCACAGTACAATATAATCCTGCCTCGCAAGGTGCATGATGGGCAAAGCTAAACTCTGACCTGGCACTTAGTTTAACCCTTTGAGAGTTCAAGCCGTAGATCTGCCTTGTCCACAGGGTCCAAGCCGTAGTTCTACGCCATAAGCTCAGCTCACTCAGATAAGCTGTGAGCAGTAAATTTGAGCCTAGATATGAGAGAATGTATCTATGTGGCAAGTGTGCATCATTTAAAACAAATCTTGCAGCATGCAGTGCATGAGAAAAACTGCAACCATGTGTTTGGATTAAAACACCAAATTTGCAGTGTATTTTCGTATGGTTTTTACAGTTGTATTCACAGTTTCTTGGTCTCATTTGATTGAATGGAAGATATATTACAGAAATAGAGATGATTTTGATTGGTTTTAGCATTGAAAATAGCTTGAAATTGAGCTGAAAATTGCAGAAATGTTCAATTTTTGCCGATGTCCATGAGTAAACGAGTGACATCATACATCCAATACACGTCAATTGGTGGGTTTAATATACATTCACGCATGCTCTGATATTACTTATACAATTATTACAAATTGCACAACAGTAAATCTATTTTTTGGTGTGAATAAAAATTCATGTAATACTAGTGAAATAGCTAAGAATTTGGTCGACTGAAATAATGTAAGTGGTCTAAAATAGGAGTCAAAATGGGCAAAATCGCTGATGCGTAAATATGGCTGACGCAGTAAAATTCGCGATAGTATAATTTTATCAATTTTCCATCAAATTTCACACTTTTTGTTTTATTACCTTCAGAAAAAATTCTCCACCATTTCATAAGAAAAAAGAAATTTTTTTTTTTCTAAATTCTTGGATCCTGTGAACAAGGTGTACATCTACGGCTTGGACCCTCAACGGGTTAAAATAGTGACTTTGAAGGGTTTTCTAGGATAGATTTTATGTATTTTCCCATTTTACAGAGTGCAGATTTTTAGGAGTGTAATCTATGGATCATAAAAGGTTTTATTATAAATACTGTATTCATCACAAGAGCATTTAAAAAATGTTGGGATAATTAAGTATAGTATACAACTACCTAACAAGTCTTCAATAGGAAGTAAAAAATAGGCAAACAGAATATTTAAGTTAATAGGGAAATAAGTTGTTTTATATTTAAAATTCCTAGCTTCAGTATTGTATGTACTGATAGCAACCACTTAAGAACAAAGTGCAAAAATAAATGGAAACTTACCTAAAACCCCATCCATCATAAGCACTTGCAAAGACTACATTGCCTAGCTCTGGCAAAAAATATAGATCAGAATCATCAACTGTGTTTATGCCCCAGTCAGCAAATATACGCTGAGCTTCAGGCATTTCACACTCTGAGACTTTTCTTTCAATCTCTGATAACTTTCTCTCTCTTTCAGCCTGCTTACGTATTTCTTCTACTTCAGATTCTTTGGCCAAGACAGCAGTGTTATACAGTTCACCCATGTATGCATTAACCTGGTGACAGGAAAAACTAACATTAATTTTACTATTATGCAGGAGAGCAAAACATTAACATGTTACCACTACATATGGACCTTAAAACATATTTGACATATACTACATGCAAGAATGGCATAGATAATTCAAGCTCCTGGAATCACCAGTAAAATTCTAGCACAGATAGAGCAATGAGAAAAGACAGAAACAGAATTATCAAAAGAGATTAATAATACAAATTAAATGCTTTTAAGTATAAAACTCTTTCTGGGAACTTCCACTTGTGATACAGCATACAATAAATTAATCACAAATTTTAAAAAGGTAGGTTTAAAAATGTAGTGTTAGAGTGTTCAGCAGAAGTTTGTGGTTACAGGAAAGTGGGTGCGGGAGGAAAGAGGAGCGATTGGTGGAATGATGTAAAGAGAGTAGTAAGGGAGAAAAAGTTAGCATATGAGTTTTTACAAAGTAGAAGTGATGCAAGGAGGGAAGAGTATATGTAGAAAAAGAGAGAGGTTAAGAGAGTGGTGAAGCAATGTAAAAAAGAGAGCAAATGGAGAGTGGGTGAGATGTTATCAACAAATTTTGTTTAAAATAAGAAAAAGTTTTGGAGTGAGATTAACAAGTAAAGGAAGCCTAGAGAACAAATGGATTTGTCAGTTAAAAATAGGATAGGAGTTATTAAATGGAGAGTTAGAGGTATTGGGAAGATGGAGGGAATATTTTGAGGAATTGTTGAATGTTGATGAAGATAGGGAAGCTGTGATTTTGTGTATAGGGCAAGGAGGAATAACATCTTGTAGGAGTGAGAAAGAGCCAGTTGTGAGTGTGGGGGAAGTTCGTGAGGCAGTAGGTAAAATGAAAGGGGGTAAGGCAGCTGGGATTGATGGGATAAAGATAGAAATGTTAAAAGCAGGTGGGGATATAGTTTAGGAGTGGTTGGTGCTATTATTTAATAAATGTATGGAAGAGGGTAAGGTACCTAGGGATTGGCAGAGAGCATGCATAGTTCCTTTGTATAAAGGCAAAGGGGACAAGTGTGCAAAAATTATAGGGGGATAAGTCTGTTGAGTATACCTGGTAAAGTGTATGGTAGAGTTATTATTGAAAGAATTAACAGTAAGACGGAGAATAGGATAGCAGATGAACAAGGAGGCTTTAGGAAAGGTAGGGGGTGTGTGGACCAGGTGTTTACAGTGAAACATATAAGTGAACAGTATTTAGATAAGGCTAAAGAGGTTTTTGTGGCATTTATGGATTTGGAAAAGGCGTATGACAGGGTGGATAGGGGAGCAATGTGGCAGATGTTGCAGATATATGGTATAGGAGGTAGGTTACTGAAAGCAGTGAAGAGTTTTTACAAGGATAGTGAGGCTCAAGTTAGAGTATGTAGGAAAGAGGGAGATTATTTCCCAGTAAAAGTAAGCCTTAGACAAGGATGTGTGATGTCACCGTGGTTGTTTAATAAATTTATAGATGGGGTTTTGTAAGAGAAGTAAATGCAGGTCTTGGCAAGAGGTGTGGAGTTAAAAGATAAAGAATCACACAAAGTGGGAGTTGTCACAGTTGCTCTTTGCTGATGACACTGTGCTCTTGGGTGATTCTGAAGTTGCAGAGGTTGGTGGATGAATTTGGTAGGGTATGTAAAAGAAGAAAATTGAAAGTGAATACAGGAAAGAGTAAGGTTATGAGGATAAAAAAATTAGGGGTTGAAAAAGGGTTTGGGATATCAGTTTGGGGGGGAGAGGGGAAGGAGGGGGTGAAGTTTTCAGTTTATTTGGGAGTGGACTTTGTCAGCCAAGGGGTTTGAAGATGGGGTAAATTTTTTTAAAAAGGATGAGGGGAAAAAGGGGGTTTTGGCGGGGGCCATTTTAGGAGTTTTTGTGGAGCAAAGAATTTTGGCCCTTTGGGAAGCTTGAGAGTAAAACTTACTCTCATACATAGAATGAAAGAGAAATATTTTAAACCAAACCCGCTCCTGTATGGGTTTTAAAGCATGAGTGTTTGAATTTTGAGTGAGGAGAAGGCTGGGGGGCAGTGGAGATTTTTCTGTTTTGAGGGCAATGTGTGGTGTGAATTTAATGCGGGGGGAATTTTCGTTTTTTGGGAAGTTAGGAGGAGGTGCGGGATTCCCAAAAAAAACTGTTGTCCAGAGGGCTGGGAAGGGTTTTTAAAGGTGGTTAAAGACATGTAGAATAAGGGAGCAAAACCAAAGGGATTTTGGGAGTGTATCAGTCTGTAGGGGGAAAAGGAAGGGGGGGGCCGGGTTTAAGGGGTCACCCCGGGAAGGGTTTGGGGGGGGAAGGGGAAAAGGGGGTTTTTTGGGGGGGGGGGGGAGGGGGTTTGGGAAATTCCCGCAGGCATGCATGAGCGTTTTTGATGGGAGTGAATGAGACAAAGGGTTTTTTTTAAAATATTTGGGACGTTTTTGTTGGAGTTGAAAAAAGTAATTTTTTTATAAAGGGGAAATTGGGGAAAACCGGCGGGCCGGGACTTGAGTCCGGGAAGAGGGGGAAGTACAGTGCCTGCCTCTGAAGGAGGGGTTTTTAATGGGGCCTTTTTTAAAAACTGTAGTGATAAAGCACCCTTCTGGCAAAGAAAAGTGTTGGATTGAATATGGTGAAAGTTTTTTTTTTTCGGGCCACCCTGCCTTGGGGGGGAAATTGGGCCATATTTTAAAAAAAAATAATAATAATAAAAAATTAAAATTTGGAGCAAATGATACGTAAAACCCAATTTATAAAAAAAAGTCAAGAGAAGAAAAATTTACTTCCATACAAAAAAAACCCTTTACAAAGGGAAAAATTTTCCCAATTATAAAAGTTTGGATGAGTAAGGGGGGGTTTAAGGGGAGTAAGGGGGTAAAAAAAAGGGGTGGTGGTTGTGTGAGGGGAAAAGCATGATAAAAGGGGTTTTGGTTTATGGCTGATGAACCCAAACTGGGGGTCATTGGGAAATTAGTGCCCTACAACAAGACCATCAGAGAGAACAAAGATGGGAAAAGCATGTTACAGCACTAAAAGAACCCACGGACAAAGTTGGTATGCTCTCAAGAATATTTAAGAATCAAAATTTTTGCCCCGGGGGAAAGGGTAACTTGAAAATTGCTCCCCATGCACTGCTACATGCCCCAAATTGCCCCAAACGGGGCAAACATATTGTACCCCTTGGATAAAAATATTTTATTACATTTTCAGGGATTTTTTAAAGTGAACTTTTTGCCCTGACAGATTCAAAGTATTGATAAAGCCCTAATAAAACATTTATTCAAAAAAAATGTTTTAAACTTACTAAGTGCCCTTTTTTCCCCCCAATTTCTAAACCCCCAAAACCAGATTGTAAAAACTTTTAAAACCTTGCTTTCTCCTGGGGGTTTTCCTTTTGTCCATTAACCCCCCAGTTTTTTTTTTTTTTTTTTTTTTTTTACAAACATTTAACCAGTTTTGAAGTTTTTGGGGTTTCCCAAATTTTTTTCATTGTCCTTGTAAAGTGCTGAAAATTTAGACAGTTGCAATAAAAACCAAATTTCCCATTATATTCTTTTGTAATTTTTGTACTTTTCCCAAAAAGGTTGAATGTTTTTTGTCACTTTAAGGTCTTGTTTGGGGAAATCCCCTCCTGCATCATTTTGTTTTGATAAAATATAGCCGATATTCATCCCATACTTGATATCCAAAATACGAATATAAAATTTTTCCTAGGTAGTATTTTTGGGTTTAGACAGAAAACCGCCCAGGGACGTCCTACCCCCCTTTCCAAGTGAGTGAAAAAACAAAAGCCTGTAATTGTTTTACAGAGGGGTAGGTTGCGGGGTGTCCTTTTTTCGGGCCCTCAGGGAAAAGGGCAAGATTTCAGGTAGGGTCTTGTATTTTCTATTTAAACACTTGGGTACACTACACATACATTAAAAGCACAAAAATTTTAAAACACCCCTCTGGGTTTTCTTCTATTTTCTTTTAGTTCTTTTTCTTTTTTTATTTCCTTTTAAATCCCCAAATTGGGGGAAGGGGAAAACAAATTCTTCCCCCAAAAAAAACAAGCCATGCGTTTTGTAAGAGGCGACAAAAATTTGCCGGGAGCGGGGGGGCCCTGTAATCTCTTCTCGGTATTTTATTTTATTTTTTTTTTTTTTCAACAAGCGGCCGTCCCCACCGGGGGCGGGGTGACCCAAAAAAGAAAGAAAACCCCCAAAAAAAAAATTTTCTTTCATCATCATTCAAAAACTTCACCACACTCGAAAATTTTACCCAATTGTTTTTGCAGGGTGCTCTTTTTTAAAAACGTTTGGGAAGCAACCATATAAAGATACACAACATATCCCCCCAAAATTTTCCAATACCCCCCAAACCCCCCCTTTTAAAACCCTTTGTTTTTTTTTCCAAAGGAAAAATTACTTTCTTCGACCAATTTTTTCCGGAGTATTTTTTCGCCAAATTTTAGGGGTTTCCCCAAATCAAAGGGGGAAAAAAAGGCCTTGTGGCCTACTTTGAAGAAAAGGGGTTTTCTCAGTGGTGGGTGTGCACCCTGTAAAAAAAAAACGGGGCCCCCGGGGTGCATTGGGGGGAACGCCATGTTGTTAGTCCTTTTTTTCAAAATGCCTCCGTTTAAAAAGTTCCTAAACTCCTGGGCGGACTGGGGTCTTTTTTTCCCAAGGATAGCTCAAACCGTTTAAAAATGTCAGTACAGTGAATTCCGGGGTTTTTGAAGGGGTTGTTCGGGAAAAATGCCCAGGATAAACGAATTATGATGAAAACCCATGCCCCCAAAACCCTTCCACCCGGGTGTGGGCCGGTTTGTTAAAGGGTTCACTTTTCGCCGTACCAAGGCGAAAGAGGAAAACTTTTGGTCGGGTACAACACCCCCAATTTTAAGCGTGATAGTGAAAAGTTTTTTCCCAAGGTCTTTTGAAAGCATTTTTTTTGTGACATGAGAGTGAATATTCCCCATTTTAAGGGGCATTTTGTACACTTTGCTTGCGTCTGGTAGTTTTCTAGGGTTTTCCCAAAGGGGAAGGAAAAACTCGGGGAGCACACC